GAACTTTGAATTGAGTTACTAGAAACTTCATGGTAGCGGCTCGAGGTTGAGACAAATCGTCCGGTAACCTCAACGCGTAACTCATTCAAGATACGACTACCTGATATCAGAAGGTCGAGCTAGAAGCCCTCCGGTACAGGGACTTCTGGAGCTCAAGCCTAGATTTATCAGAGGAGAGTCGTCGATCCGAAGACGAAAACGAAACGCTTCCACTACACCACGCATCAAACGAAAGGATGCCGCTCGAAGAAGAAGACCGCCCCAGTCGCCTCGAACGATTGCGAGGTGCTGACAACTACGACATCTGGCACGATCAAATCCGAGCTAGGCTTCTTGAGAAGGACCTCTGGACCTACTCGGGGGCCACCGGAAACCTTTACGACGCACGACCGAACTTCAAGATCGATGAGAAGACCTCGGACCTCCGAAACTTCTCGGAAAAACCTCTTACGGCGAAAGAGAAGTCTCTAATCCGAGACTGGGATCTCAAGAACCTCAAGGCCTGTGCCTTGATCGATACATGGCTAGGTCCCGAAGCGATCGGAATAGTTTCCGGGATCGAAAACGCCAAGGAGAAATGGGAGACTCTCAAAGCTACGTTCGGTCGAGCTGGCGTTGCTAATCTCCAACTGTTCAACGACGAATACGATGCCTTCCGCATGAAAGAAGGAGAAGATCTCGAGCTTCACTACGGAAAGCTACGAGGCCTTTGGAACCGTATTCAGAGAGCTGGAGGACAGAAGACCGAACAAGACGTCACCATGAAATTGCTTCGATCCCTTCCCCCGTCCTGGTCACCCACCGTACAGACCCTCACGTACCAATTGCTGAACGGACAAGTTGCCATGAACCTCACCTGGACGTACCAAATGCTTCAGGTTGAGGACCTCAGACGAAGATCGGAAGCCAGCAAAGACGAATCGCTGCAGGCGTTACTTGCCAGCCACCGCGGACCTCGACAAGGCCCGTCAGGCTCGGGAAGCCGGCCCAAGAGAGATCTCTCGAAGATCACATGCTACAACTGCCAACAGAAAGGGCATATGAAATCGGATTGCAGAAACGAGTACGTTCCCCGCGGAGGATTTACTCGAGGCAGGGGAGGACGAGAGACGGCACACTACGGTCAGGGCGAGGATGAAGAACCGATCAGTTTAAACCTCACCGGACTTGCCTCGGCTCTTCCCCCTGTTCAACGATACCCCAGCCCTCACATTCCGAACACTCAATACTCCAGTCGACAGCGGTACCCCACCGCGGATACCGTCAAACTCCCGGACTCGCATGATCAGTGGGACAGCGCGTTTCTGGCTCACGGGTTGGGACAAAGGGAGTTCATCTCTCCCGAAGTCGCCCTATCGAACGTGGCCAGGAGCGAGTGCGTTGTCATTGATTCGGGAGCTACGTCGCACATGATTGCTCGTCGAGATTGGTTCAGGAAATACACGCCGAGGAAACGAGCTATCGCCCTCGGAGACGGAAGAACCATCTATGCCGAAGGATACGGGGAGGTAGCGTTCTTGATGAAGGTTGACGGTAGGGTCATCAAGGTGGTATACGAGGACTGTCTGCATGTTCCCGTACTGTCCGTCAACCTACTGTCCGTACCATCTCTCTCCCGAGCCGGGCTGTCAATCACAATGCCGGCACACACGGGAGAGTGTAGGATTGTCAGAGACGGGAAAGTGGTCGGATGCGGAAAGCTTGACCGGGGACTATACCGACTTGAAACCCACCCGGATATCGTAGAGCAAGCTCTCGTCACTCAACATCATGAGCCCATCGGGGTCTGGCACCGAAAGTTTGGTCACCTTCACTACGACGGTATCAGGAAACTTGCCAGGCAGAACCTGGTGGACGACTTCTACCTCGATGAGACACCCGCTCCCGCTCAGTGCGAAGACTGCATCATTGGGAAGACCTCCCGCTCGCCTTTCAATGGAACGGTTCCTCGGGCGACAGCCACGTTGGAGGTCATCCATTCTGACCTATGCGGTCCCTTCGAAGTACAAGACATGGTCCATGGGAAGAAATACATGGCCCTCTTCATCGACGACTATTCGAGGTACACGGTTGCCTACCTGATCGCAAAGAAGGACGATGTTTTGAACGCCTTCAAACACTACGTCGCTCGGTGGGAGAATCAGCTTCCCGGGAAGAAAGTGAAGAAGTTAATCAGCGATAACGGTGGTGAATACATCCAATCGTTGTTTAAGGGATACACCGATTCCAAGGGCATAGTGCACAACACGACCATGCCCTACTCCCCGCAGATGAATGGAGTAGCCGAGCGCGCGAACAGAACCATCGTCGAAGGAGTAAGGACATTGCTGCACGCGAGCGGTATGACGAAGGGTGCTTGGGGCCTAGCGGTTGGATATTTTGTTCAAACTCGGAACATGCTACCGACCAAAGCTATTCCTGACACATCTGTTCCGTGGACGCTTTTCCATGGCGAGCGTCCGTCATTCAAGCACCTACAGATCTTTGGCGACACGGTATACACATATATCCCCAGGGAGAAGCGACGAAAGCTGGACGACAAGGCAGAGAAAGGGATCTTCGTGGGCTACGACGACTCAAGGAACTACTTGATTCTGGACAGATCGAACGGAAAGGTTCATAGAATCAGGATCCAAGACTGTCGCTTCGAGAAGAAGGAGGATCCCACCCAAGCTCTGCCCCCTACGCCGGACCCTACTCCGTTGGCGGAAAAGGTTCCCCTACCCGAGAGCGAAGATGACTCCGGAGAGGGACAAGAGGCTGGAAATGATACTGGAAGTTCGGAGCAAGTTCCCGAACCGGCTCGTACAATTCCGGAATCAAGTTCGACCGAGACGGACATCTCCAAATCGACGGCGGAGAAGTCTGCTAGGTCGACTACAACTGCGGCGAGCTCGAGACCGTCACGCATCAAGAAACTCCCAAAGCACCTCACAGACTACGTCAGGTCGTCTGCTCTCATTTGTGACGGGGACATTACGGATTGGGAAAAGTGCGAGATCGCCAGCTTGGCGAACGAGAACCTGACGGTTGAACAGGCTCTCGAAGGCCCTGACGGTGACAAGTTCCAGAAAGCGCTGGATGACGAGATGGAATCAATTCGACGCGCAGGCGTTTGGGAGTTGGTGGAGAAACCTGAAGGCGCGAACGTACTCACGAACAAGTTTCTGTTCAGGGTCAAGGAAGACGGACGGCACAAGGCAAGACTTGTGGTTTGGGGATTCGGTCAGAAGAAGGGAGAGGATTTCGAAGAAACTTGGGCGCCTGTTGCCAAAAGCACCGCCATCCGAATGGTGCTCTCCCTCGCAGCCTCGCAAGACTTAGAAATCTTACAAATGGACGTCAAAACCGCGTTTCTCAACGGGTACATCAAGGAAGACGTCTACATGTATCAACCGGAAGGTCACGCTGAACGCGGGAAGGAACATCTTGTTTGCAAGCTCAAGCGCTCCCTATACGGTTGCAAACAAAGCCCTCGATGCTGGAACGAAGAATTCGTCAAGAAGCTTATTTCGAAAGGTCTTGCACAGTCTCAAAACGATCCCTCTCTATTCGTTGGGGCTCTTCCGAACGGTGAAATCGTCTACATCGTTCTATATGTCGACGACCTACTCATCGTATCGAAGACAACCGACGGAGGGGCTGAGGTTCAGCGATGGTTGGAAAGCTGGTTCGAAATGACGGTCATCGGAAAACCAACCATCTTCTTGGGTATGGAAATCACACGAGACCGCGAGGCCCGGCGAATCTACTTGAGTCAGACGAAATACCTGAATACCGTACTGGAACGCTTCGGCATGGAAGAATCCTCCGACGTCACATCTCCGATTCTTGACCCGACTATCATGTTGAAGGACTACCAAAACGGTGACGACCCATGCGATAGACTTCCTTACCTGTCAGCAATCGGATCGGTCATGTACGCAATGCTGTGCACCCGGCCTGACTTAGCTTTCGCTGTCGGTGTACTCGCACGATTCTCGTCAAACCCGCAAATGTCTTCTTGGAAAGGAGTAAAGCGACTCCTCCGATATATCCAAGGAACCAAGGACTACAGCCTGATGCTGGGCGGGAACGACCTCGAGATTGTTGGATACGCCGATGCCGACTACGCGAAGGATCCACTCGGTCGCAGGTCAGTCACCGGTTGGGTGTTTACGATGGGAGGTGCGATCTGCTGGAAGTCGAAGAAGCAGAAAAGCGTGTCGATCTCCACCACAGAGGCCGAATACATGGCACTCTCAGCTGCTGGTAGAGAGGCCGTTTGGCTCTCCCGATTGAAGGAAGAACTCGGATTCGACTGGAAGGCGATCGTGATTCATGAGGACAACAAGTCGGCGATCGCCCTTACGAAGAACCCCATCATCTCCGAGCACAGCAAACACATCGACACCCACTACCATTGGGTCAGGGAGAAGGTTCTCGATCAGTCGATCGGAGTAGTGCAAATCGCCTCCGAACGAAACGCTGCGGACATCTTCACGAAAGTCGTTCCCGTCACCACCCTCGCGAGGCACCTGGAGACTCTCGGACTTGGAAAGCACATCATGAAGGCCTAGCGGGCAGTCCAATCCGGTGGAGGCCGTCCTCGACGTGGAACTCAACCCGACATCTCGTTTCCGAACATACGAATATAGACACACTCGTTTATCAGACCGAACAACATTCTGGTGGAGGCCCACCGATTACGAAAATACTACGACGCGTTGAACGTATCGCGACCCGACATCCGATCTCGACAACGACATACACACTCGTTTACTCCTTATTCATCAACGACTCTATCTTCACTCTCGAACTACGACAAACATACGAAATATTACGAAGCGAAAAAGGGTGGAGGTGAAGTCACGTGATCGCGTTTTCGCGTCTACTACATCAGCTTTCATTTTCACCTTTTACTATACTATATTCACTATTTCCCTAGTAATCAATTCATTGAACTTTGAATTGAGTTACTAGGTATGTTACTAGCAATTTGTATTCTCATGTCAATTAATTCATTGAACTTTGAATTGAGTTACTAGAAACTTCAGATCAAGCAGGCCTGCACTGACATCGACAGCCTTCGTCCGATGATATTCTGCTGCTGTCCTACTGCATGCCATGATCGGATAAACGATCGACAACACCCTTGTGATGGAGTTGGTATCTCGTCCCAGGATCAGGCGAAGGACGTGTTGAAGGATGGTGGTCTTTCCCGAGCCGGAAACTCCCGTGGCTATAATGGTGTAGGCCATCTTTGACGACAAGAGAGCTTGGTCGTTATCTAAAGAGGATGGGTTGGGATCATCTCGATTACTCTTCAACGTTCGGTCTAGAAACTTCTCCATGTATTCTTTCCTGTCATCCCAAGAAAAAACCGGGAACGAATGGATCGGCACGGGATGAAAGAAAGAAAAGTCAGTCAAGTAACGACTTTCTTTCTGGTAGCGAGGTGTCGTCGGGTCAGGCTAGACTGGGGGACTCACAGAACCTCCTCACTCTTAGAAGAGATAGTCCCTGCCTGGATTCCTCCCGGATTGACCGTAATTAACACATTGTTCCCAAGCTCGTGGTAGATTTCGTTTCTGTCGAAGGATAATTTCAACGAGGCGGAAATCTCGCAAGCCTGACGGGAAGGTCGATTTTCCTTGACTGGGTTCGTTGAAGAAACCAACGTTAGGTCGCTTTCGGACGATGAACCCCCGACGGCTACTCACGTGTCTGCTTGGCCAGAGTCATCTGGCGTAGAGAGTCTTGCAAGTTTCTTCACGTTGGGTTGTTTGATGTCGGATAATCAGAGAGCGCTAAAGCTGCAGATAGTAGGTCGATTTGAATATCTCTCAAGCAATAGTTAGGGACAAGTCGATCGCATCCCCTTGAAGTCCTTGTTGGTGTTATACCCAGCTTGTCCAGCGGGCACCTACCCATGCTGATGTCATAGAAGTATGAAGTTTCATTGATGGAGGGCACGGGGCGAGAGGATGGCAGAGAAATGTTTGATGATGAGGGGCAAAACCCAAAATCCAAGCGGGATCGGGTGAGATTTGATGGATCGCCGTGAGATCCAAGCCCATCTCAATCGGGAGAGGATCATCAAGTTGATCGGGCGACAACGGGCAACGGATAGTCGCGCATCAGACCCCTAAGTCCCCCTCGCCTCCCTTGCCAATCCTCACGGCTTCTGTGATTGTGGAGCGGAAGTCAGATTCGCACATCCGGGCCTTCTATTTGATTGCGTTTCATCTTGACACGCGAGTGCGAGGGGTCCTTTTGATCAAGCTATCAAGCGTTCAATCGCCGGAACCCGGGCCGCGCAGGGGTGAAGGGGGAGAAGCTTTGACACAAACTCGAAATTGAAACGGGGTAACCCCTGAATGGAAGACTCCTCTTCAGCGCGCGGTCGATCGAAATTGAAACGGGGTAACCCCTGAATGGAAGACTCCTCTTCAGCGCGCGGTCGATCGAAATCGAAACGGGGTAACCCCTGAATGGAAGACTCCTTTGAGATGGAGTCGCGGGAGACAATCGACCGGGCGATCAAGGGCTTCTATCGTGGATCGAGGTGTATGCCCCACATGGTCTCTCCGCGCTCCGAGATGACCGGAAGATCCTTAGAAGGATCAAAGCCGATTGTCAATCCGTGATCCCCGACATTCCTCTAGTGGAATATATATAGGTGGTCACCACGTCGTGCGATCCGTAAGTTATAAGTTACCCTTCCCATACTGTCATTTACATCTTCCACCTACTTTCCGATACCACTCCCTGTACTTACGTAAGCTTGACTTCACGCCAAGTGAGCAAAGTCTTTGCCAAGAGTTATCACCGCGTCAGATTCTCATATTGGCTCGCATCATCAGCATGTCCGCCCCGAACCCCCCCAAGGACAAGGTCAACACGAACCCTGCAACTCCCCTCAAGCCCGACATCAGGTATGTTCGCACCCCACTTGCTTCGATCGTCTGTTACCTACGTTAACATATCTTGCATGCTTTCAGTTCCCGCATTGCGAAACTCAAAGGTCACGTCAAGCCCACGGCCTTTAACACCCCCGTCCGCCAGTGAGTGGTGTTCTTTCCATTGCCGTCTCTGCCTTCGAACACAATTGACATCATATCACATAAACAGGGGGATGCTCGAAAATGAAATTGTCACGAAGAAGGCAGGTTATTGGAACGGATTGGGAGATCCTCCTGGAGAGAAGGTGTCCAAGAAGGACGTCAAGACGGGCCTCGTTGACAAGAGGGTAGAGGAGATCGAGAAGTTGAAGTCTGAGTAGAGGATGATCTTGGTTCCCCGCCGTGTAGATGCAATCTATGAAGATACATCATGTCTCGCTGACGATATATGGGTCGCTGTCTCGACCTTCTGTCTCGCCGATCTCCGACCGGTGACGAGAATGGAAGCGATCACAAACATACTCGTACATATCAACAGAAGCCTGAAACGATCCGCCTAGTATACAGCTCAGTCCGTGATATCTCTGCCAAACCTATCGGCGACAACTTTATCGATCTCCCGCCGCTGCCTCAACCTGTCAACCTCCTTCTGCGTCTCATGGAGCCGAGCCAACAACTCTTCTCTAATCTCCGCGTCTACTATAGGTTTGGCTCGTAGTCGGTCGATGTTCGCTCTGCCTGAGACAGCGGCTTTGACTGGGGCGGATCGTTCGACCCTGCATAGCCTGTTGAGGGCATGGTTGGCTGACTGGGAGACTTCGAGCTGTCTCTCGAGGCGCTCAACTTGGAGCTGTAGCTCATGAATGCGTCCGGCCTTTTGACCGGCTGTCATTCCCGACGTAGCTGAACGGAGATCAGCCTCATCGCCGACTGTAAAGAGGCAGCAACAACGTTTCGTCAATTGTCTTCAATGAATGTGCATCTCCAGTCGAGGGGTGTATTACTGACCGTTTAGTTCCCGCCTGGCACAGGGTGATCGAGGAACGACCTCCTCCCTCGAAGTGACATCCACTTGACCGTGACCATCGTCGGAATTCGGATCGGGGGTGGCGAATGCTATGAGGAATAGCATGAGGAAGTGGAGTTGGAGCCCGAGGTACATGCGCAGCCACATGCGCAGGTACATACGCATGTGCATGTGATCCCAGACAACAAAAGTTGTTGACGATTGACAATTGCGTGATGTTCCCGCTTACAACGAGACCGTTAGGAATCCCGAGCTCGTCTATCGCAATCCCGAGACCGTCTGTCGCGATCCTTGTCGACCTCTCGGGGCTGAGATCCTGGGGAACCGATCCTGCTCGATTGCCATCATCGACATCCCACGTCGACATCGAGGTTGGAGTCTGGGTCCGATGATCTGGTTGGAGTCTGGGTCCGATGATCTGGATGAAAGGATACGATGCAAGAGAGAGTACAAGTAGGTTAGCATCAGGAGAAATGGTACGTCAGATTGAGGATGCGTTATCTTTCAACCGAAAGGAAGGCGGACGAAAGGAAGGATGGATGGATGATGGGGTAGAACACGATCACCACAACGACGACAACTACTCACGCATACGGACAGCAGTCAAAGATCAAGGCGACTTTACTTGGCGTCAAGATGATGCCTTGTCGTTTCTTATCGTTGAGGGTATTCAAATCGCCCTTCAAAGGAGTCGAGGTCGCCGCCGTCTCCTCCCGCCCAAACTCGTGCTCGGTTTGTCTCATCAAGTATCCGTCCCGTTGTGCCTGTACCGGATCCCCAGGGGGTGGTCTTTCCGTCATGGGAGAGATGGTGAAGGACGGAGTGCAGGATGGTTGTTGTTGTTGTTGCCGTTGTTGTTGTCGACTTAAAGGACTCGAAGTAAAGGTCCTTTCTATCGACACGGTCGCAAAGGTCGTTGTTGGTGGTTGATGCGCCGATGTGCGGTTTCGCGGCGAGCGAGGAGATCTCCTATACATCCTTGAATACGGTAGCAGGTATGTTCAATTCGTCAGAAGGAAAGCGAAGAGGTTCGAATGAAGTAAAAGGAGATTCAAAGGAGGGTCAGGAGGGGGGAAAGGCGACAGGGCAGGGGGGAGGGTCCGAGTGCAAGTATTTGTACTTATAGTCTACAGAGCTACAGGACGCTCTCGTCGAGGTTTGAAGGTTGAAACCTCCTTTGATCGGAGATGACCGCGCCGGATGCTAAAATAACACCGGGATGATGAAGGGGCCCGACCAACCACGCATCAGCGATAAATACCTCGACGACATAGTTTGAGCTCTATCAATACTTCGTCGGTCTCATCCTAAGCAGGCCCGAGCTGGACGAGCGTCATGTATCCATATGCGGTATCGATCTGGTGAGCCCCGTGCTGACTCTTCCTTCGTCTCGCATCGCCTGGCGCCTAACTGCCAGGTCCTCTTAGACAGCGGGTCGAGTGCGAGCCGACCCGAAGTTGTAGTCGGACTTGAAATCGCCTGGGCTCACACTCGAACTTGACTCGGTCGCAGATTCGGCTCGACTCTCACACGGACTCGCACTCGATCCCGTCTCTTCGCTGCGGTGACAGGCCTGACTTTGGCTAACACCAAGGTTTAGTGGACCCGGCAAAGACTGCGAATGGACCGTACAAGGATGGCAACTGGATTGTTTCCTTTCACGTGCGATAGGGGCATCGAGTGGGAATGAACTGGGACTGATTATGCCTACGATTTTCCACCATCCAGTTGCTGTGGCCAGGTGGTTAATCTCCAAATGTCTTGGCCGATCTTGAGGTCGGCGATCTCGGAGCATAAAGAGATAGCCCCATCCCTGTGAAGACACCCTCAGGCGGCGAGACCTCAACTATACCTTCCTGGATTTTGTCTTGTTCATGGTGAGCGCTTGAGATTCTCCACGTGACAGCCCACCGCCGTACTGCTCTGACACGACACGGCACGACCGCTCGGGCCCATCTGGTTCAACGTTCTCTGGCTCTCTGTCAGTGAGACTATGGGCGAATTCACCTCAGGCAGCATGGAACCACCATAGTCGATCTGATCGATGCTCTCGGAGCAAGGAACCACTCGTCCTTCCTTCGCCCTCCTTCCACACCAAGACACCATGGTGAATTATCACCATATCTTGTCTCTCAGCTCCGGTGAGCTCGGCCCGCATCCCGAGATCGAACAACAACCGCCCGGCTAATGACGGACGAACTATTGCCGTCTTCAAGATGTCGGACCGCCCTCCCGTCGCCCGTCCGGATCGTCCATCGCCAGAACTTTCTGGCCACCCCCCTTACCCCGGATCTGACCAATGTGGCGAAGGTTGAGAGTAGTGTCGATGGATGCTTTGCGCGAGAAGATATCAACGACAGCAGATAATGCCATTCCCGCATCGAGATCGGTGGCCCGCGGATCGTCATCTGAGCTCCTGGCATTAGGGATGCTGTGAGCTGGGACGACCTACAAGAACACGATTGACGAACAGGCTTCGGTCGGCTGACCTACCCAATCTTCCGTTCGACGTTCCCCTCTGCTCAAGCTTAACTTAAACGCGAACAGGAAACACCGCTCGACGCTGTGGGGTCAATCCCGGCCTTCGGGATCAAACGTCGATGACGACGTCAAACAACAACTCGTCTGAGTTGGCGGTAAGGTAGGTAGATAGGGTTGCTAAGCCTAGGAGTGGTAAGGGATGTCCAGGTAGGCAAGTGCTGTTCCCGGTAGACTATAGGGGGGGGTAGGAGGTAGGTAAAGTCGTGTAAACGTTACGTGATTCAGGTCACGTGACGTTCGAAGGTAAAAGGTGATATCTCCGATCAAACGCGATACGTCGAAGTCGTATAAACTCGAAACCTCTCGGGGTGGTAAGCTAGCAAGGGCCGTACTCTGACGCCGATCTACTTAACCTTGTCCGGAAGCCAGCTATAGATCCGTCGTCTTAAGCGGGTGATGGGAAGTAAACGTGAAACGCGAAGCGGCGAATCAGCGAGGTCGAACGGTAGGTGTATACCGAAAGTGAGATGTGGGATAAAAGCTATGAATAAACGTCTACTACTGGTCTCTCTACTGCTTGCTTGACTACTACAACGGTGAAACGGCGATGGAAAAGAGGGGAATCGAATATCGAGGTGGGGACCTTTATACGTGTCTAGCGTACGCTTACGCCAGCGCGACCGAGTAAAGTACCGGAACGGTCTATACTCCGGGCCGTGCGTCTTCCGCTTCTCCTCTGCCCGTATGCCTCGACCTTTACACGTGTATCCCGTCTCCCGTCGTCCGATGAAACCTTCTAATCCACCGTCGGCTGCCGTCTAGTAATCCACCGTGACCAACAGCGGCGAGGTCGAGGTAGTCGAGAGCGAACCGCGGATGTAGGAAGTAGGCGACCGTCGGGGCCGATAGATTCCTGTCACCACAAGTCGTTCTCTTCTTCCCTGCAATGTCCTCAGTCGCTAAAGCGGTCCCTGACGGGTCCACGCCGCAATCGAACCACGGTTCAACAAGTAATCCTTCCCAGTTGAATCGGTAAGGATGAAGTTGTCTTCGGTCTTGGAAGTAATGAACACCGGCGTAGGTCCTCGCATAACCTCCTGAGTAACGGTTACGGGTCGGTGTTCGTGCCTATCAAGACGATCGTCTCTCCAGCGTCCACTACCAGCAGGTGTGATCCTCTCCGCGAGCGGTCGAGCGGGAGTTCTACCGGTCATCAAACGGGGAACCGAGCTAGGCCCGACGCCTCCGTAGAACGGCGCAGCCCTCTCGATCCTCGTATTCTCGTTCACCCTCAAGGGAACCCCGGCCCTTGAGTCAATCGTAGTCCTCATCCTTCCCAGCAAGGATGGAATCTGCCCTTCGAATCGGTACCACTTCGGAATGGCCTTAACCGAGTTCATCGAGTAGCTCCGGCAGCTCAACTCGAATGCTTCCTTAGTACTCTTGATCGGTGCCCCCTTATGATTAGAGATGTACCGGTTCAAAGATAAAGGTTCGGCAAGGTCCAATCGGATCAGGTCGTAGTTGTCGTCCGTTCCGACCCGTGTGAGGGCGCCGCTCCTCAATACTTCTTCCAACCAAGGGCATCCACGGCCCTGTCCATGCGCGTTGGTACCACAGCGTCCACACTTGAGGATTTCCTCAGTGGTCCGAGCTCGTGCAACACGCGCCGCCTCGTTGGGCTTCGTAGTACTTTGTTCCGCCCGGGTTTCCTTCTGAGCAGCCCCGCTGACTCTAGGTGTACCCGTGACGATAGTAGGAGCAGGCATAGCCTTGACGGTATCTGGAATGTCGTCGCCCCAGCTAGAAGGGGTTTCCTACTGTACCTGAGCAGAAACTCTCTCGTAGTTGGTAGGGAGTTGGTCGTCGGTATAGCTGTCGTCTTCGACGCTATAGTCGACCTCGTCGTTGATAAAACCTTCGTCCATCTTGCCTGATGCTGGATGTGTCTTCCGTCGTATGCTCTTCAGTCTTCGACCGTATCCCGTGAGTCTTTATACCCATCCCAACAGCAGTGTCCACCAGGTACCGACGTGAACACCTTGCTTAGGAACGTGTTTCAGATGGCAGAGGTGTAGTCGCGCTTTTGTCCATGTACGACCGCGGATGCAAATTCCTACGCGCGGGAGGTTTCTTTTTGTTCCAAATCGTCGTCTTTGTTCCTCGGAATCCCTACACTTCAGTCGGGTAGATCGTCGCTGTTCTCCTGCCTTTAGTATACCCATGGGAAGTTGTCGCTCGCTAGATTCTTCGTCGGAAGATAACGTCATCGGGAAACGGGGTGCGTCACCTCGAATTTCCCGATTGGGTAAGCAAAGCACGTATCCACCTAAGAAGCTCGAACTTAGATCATCGATGATATTCGCTGCCTGATTTCTCTCCTTGATATGCCTTATCGTAGGCACAACTGTAGTAGTACTCCAACTCCGCCATAGTCGCTGTCGTCGAGCGGAAGCAAGTTCAAGGGTCCCGTGACGTCGCGTACACCGATTTCGAGCTTCTTCGAAAGGTATATAGTCTAAGTCGTTTTGTCGTTTCCGTCTATCCCCCCTTCCTCCCTCATATCTCTCTCTTCTCTTCTTCATACCTAAAACGTCAAAATGTCCAAGGCTCCTAAGAAGAACACCCCCTCCCCTGCCAAGAAAGGTACGTATCTCTCTCTAGTCTTCATCCTTCTTCTTTGCTGACCTTCCTATTCTTGTTCTCCGTAGCCAACACTTCTCCGAGGAACCTTCCTCGGGGTCCTGGGTCTCACCGGCGTAAGTCGACTCGAGTACGTTCTCTTGGCTGAGTCTAATCCTCCTTCTCGGTTCCTCGTTTTAGCCCGTCCTAGCGGTTCGAGTGAGTACGAAGCTGGTCCATATTTCGTATAGGTATACTGATCCCCGATATATGTATTGCAGCCCCGCCACCTCGCTACGAGCCCGGAACGGCTCAAAACCCCATCGTCGTCCGCGACGATTCTCCCATCGTCGTCCGCGACGACACTCCCCCCGTACGTCTCCCTCCTACGTCTTCTTCTTCCGACACACTTAACCAACCGATCTCTATCCTTCTTCGCTTCAGCCTCCGCCTCCCTACGAAAAGGAGGCCCGTCGCGAGGGATGAATGGACTGCGGTTGTAGTCGTGTAGTCCGATGTGACGATGATATCGTCCCGTAGCCTTCTCGTTCTCTCTTCTGATTTTTGCTGCAGCAGGCTTCTCGACGGTTGTGGTGCTTCTTCCTAATCTCCGTATTATTCCGAACTTCCCGTACACGTAGTATCTCTACGTGCTTACGCACAAACGTCCTTTCGTTGTCGTCTTCCCCGGTCGTCCGCCGATCCTTCGACATACAAACTCTGTCGTCGTATCCACTGCGCGGGTTCTAGCGCCGTCGTCGTCGTATCACTTCGCTACTCGGATCGTCGTTTTTTCTGTTCTTTTTGTCTTCTCGTGGTTTTACCGAATTGCCCAAAGAAGCTATGCTTCTTAGTATACGTTCCCCATATACTTAAGAAGCTTCATGCCCTCCTTCTTGATGTCTTCTTTCTTCTCGATATCCGGTATTTCACTATCTATCTCAATCACATACTTCTCGCTCGTACTCCATCCTAGAATAGTAAAACGTTCCCCACAATGAACTCTTCCTTCCACAATGTCGAATCCCGCCCGGATATCACTGCTCCCGTGTGGACCAACGCGGATGCCTGGGCGTTGATGAACGATGAATGGAGGGTGAGGAGTCGTGAGGGAAACCGCTGCTTCCCTCTACCGGAATGGAAACAAGTAGGCCCTCTCGCTATCCTTCCTAGGCCTTCCATTCATCTCGATCTAACTTTCTTCACAGCGCTTTCTATTCGAACTATTCCTCGCCGTCCGAACGATCCTCCGGGATATATTCGGATTCTATATTCCCTTTCCCGGTACCGGCGCGGTCTTGGGTTTCCCGGGGGACGTCTACAGTCTCCTCGATCGCATCCTGTTTCAGGTTGCGAGGAGCCAGGACCCCTGGCGCAAGGAGGCGTGGCTCTTCTCCTTCACGCTTCTTTTGACGAGCGTGGCAGGGTGGGCGAAGGTTCCCGAGGCAGAGATCGAACTGTCGTTGGGTTGGATGCTGGAGTATGGGAGGAACCATCTCTACTCTCTCCCGCGGCCATCGTCCGAAGGCACGGAGCTTCTAAGGTTCGTCTTCTTCCGCATACTAGATATCCCGTCTCTGACTCTCTTCCATATTTTTTTTTCGTTTGAACAGAACCCCTCTGTTCCGTACCGTTCTCAAGGAGGAGACCGATGCTCGGTATGCCGAGTTTTTGCGATGGCGGTCGGTGCTGTCCCCTAGGGATATCCTCATCATATCCCACATGACCCAGCTCCCGCTAGCGTGATTCCTTGTACGGTTTTCCTTCTTTTTATGTCTATATAATGTTTTTCTCTTCTCGCATTCCTTTCTCTCGTTCTCTCTTCTACCTTTTGCCTTTCTATCCTCGTATCCTTCCCTCTTTCCGACTAGGCTCCCCGTCCTAGCCTCCCTATCAGATACGTAGGGTATCGCGAGCCGTGGGCACCCAAGGTCCGGTAGGTCTTGGCTCGTCCATGTCTCGCATCCATCCCCACTGTCGCTCGATATCTTCTTCTTCATTCCGGTCTTCCTCCTCTTCGTCATCCGTGGAATCTTCTACTTCCCCGTCTTCGGGTAAGATCACTTCCGGTAAGCCTTGAAGAATGTCGAGTCGGTAGTACGGGCGTAAACGCGTATGCGCCACCAATTCTTGGCGCAGCGCTCCATCTAGCTCTCGGATCCGGTAAGCTCTACCTCTGGTCTGTTCCACCACAACATAAGGTCCGAACCATCTATCTGCGTCCTTGGTTTGATATGTGACGTCTCTTGCAGAATCTCGCAACAGAACCCAATCGCCCGGCGAATAAGGTTCGTTCATCCTTCGATCGTGTCGTAAGTTGTGATCGTTCACAGAGATCTCCCGAGATATAGCTAGCCTCTCCCGCGCTAACTCGATGTCCTCCTCTCGTCGCAGCAGTTGCCGTATTCTATGATGCAGTAGATCCCCGCTACTGCACCCGTCCTCGTACCCTCTCACTAAGAACGTGGCTTCCTCCAAGTCGAATGGTAATACGCAATCTTGTCCGAGCATCAACCGATATGGCGTGTACCCTGTAGTCCGTGAATAGGTAGTCCTTTTGGCCCAACAAGCGAAGTCGATCAGCTTGTGCCAAGGCTGCTTCACATCCCTTGCAACTCGGTACAACGCTTCCTTGAACGGTCCATTCCCTCGTTCCGTCATCCCGTTGGCTTGTGGGTGGTAAGGACTAGTCCGTATGTGGGTGATCTTGAACTTGGCCATCTCAATGTTATAGCGGTCACGTGACGCGTCGGACGCGCCGTACGCGACTCCCGTATGCGACTCCCGCCGGGGGTACTTTTCGGTATTGTTATGTTGATGTAGAACTAGTACCCTTGTAATAGCTCTACATCCGTTATTACATCTAGATGTCTACCCATACCTTGCCTCATTCCTGCGTCCCGTCAGCCTGTCCAGGGGGACCCCCATCGGGGGCCGCTCCCGGGCCTTACAGAATAACGGATCATCAAAGGACCCCGAATGGGGGAGCACGAGGAGGTAGCCGGATCCCCTTGCAGCTGGGTGCAAGCGGAGTACCCAACGGTCCAGATAGCCATCTGACGTTGGTAGGAGTGTTCTACCCGGAAGGAGTGCCGGTCCAAGCACTCATGTTGTTGGATTCGGGAGCGACCGGGATGTTCATGGATCGGACATTCGCGTCGCTACATGGATTCGACGTAACGGACCTCGAGACGCCGCGGGTAGTGACGGTGATCGATGGTCGGGAGATCCAGGGAGGAAGGATCACCCAGAAGGCTCGTACGCTGGTACGTACGGGAGTGCACCTGGAACTGACCGAGTTCCACCTCACCGATTTGAGTGGGTACCCGGTGGTACTAGGTATCCCTTGGCTGCGGAGACACAACCCGCATATCCAATGGGACTCTAACGCGGTGACATTCGGGGATGTCTGCATCAGCACGGGATGCCTCAAGAGGCCCGAGACGGTGTACGCTCCGGACGAAGTAGAAGTGGAGACACGAGGGATCGACCCGTTCAAGAAGATGAAGGGGTCGATCACGGAGGATTTGGTCGTCGCGCAGATGCAGATGACCCGGGAGGACGACGAGCGGGCGAGGCGCCCGGACCTGTGGGATTGGGACGTCAAACCCACGGACTCGTTCCAGGACGACCTGGATCCTCCTGAGTATATGGAGAAGCTGAGGGACATGGTACCGGAGAAGTATCATGAACATCTTGGAGCGTTCTCCAAGACGAAGGCAGATACACTGCCCCCGACGCGATCGATCGACCATGCGATCGAACTCAAGCCCGGTACGTCGCCGACGTACCAGAAGCTCTACAACCACTCCCAGCGGGAAAGCGAGGAGCTAAAGAAGTGGTTGAAAGAAAATTTGGAGAAGGGGTTCATCAGGCCGTCGAAGTCGCCCTGTTCGAGCCCGGTACTGTTCGTACCGAAGAAAGGCGGCGAGATGCGTATGTGCATCGATTACCGTCGCCTTAACGACATTACGGTGAAGGATAGGACGCCCCTACCCCTCATCTCAGAGACGCTAGACAGGTTGAAGGGCGCGAAGGTCTACACGAAGATGGACCTCCGAGGCGCGTACAACCTGCTACGCGTAAAAGAAGAAGACATTTGGAAGACCGCGTTTACTACACGTTTCGGTCTGTTCGAATGTTTGGTCATGCCGTTCGGCTTGACCAACGCCCCCGCTACCTTTCAGCGGTGGATGAACGAGGTTTTCCAGGACCTTTTGGATGTGTGCGTCGTCGTTTACCTCGACGACATACTTATTTACTCCTCCGACCAGGAGACCCATGACGGTCAGGTCAAGGAGGTTATGAAGAGGCTGCAGGCAAATGGCCTGTATGCGAAGGCGGAGAAGTGTGAGTTCGATACGGTGGCTACCGAATTCTTGGGGTACGATATTGCCCCGACGGGGGTCAGTATGAACCCCTCCAAGGTCAAGTCCGTTTTGGACTGGGCCCCCCCGAAGAACATTCGGGGGCTGCAGTCCTTTTTAGGATTTGCAAACTATTATCGGAGGTTCATCCAGAACTACTCCAAGAAGATTCAGGGAATGACGGCCCTGACGAAGAAAGGGGTGAAGTACTCCTGGACGGCAGCCGCTGACGCTGCGTTCCGGGAATTGAAGGAGTCCTTCACCCAGGCGCCTATATTGGCGCACTACAACGAGGAGCGCCAAGTGGTGCTCGAGACCGACGCTTCCTCTGGAGCGATCGGCGCGGTGATGTCCCAGGTAGGGGACGATGGGAAGCTCCACCCGGTAGCGTTCATGTCAAAGAGTCTGACGCCCGCCGAGAGGAACTACGATGTGCACGACAGGGAACTGTTGGCCATCGTCTATTGCAGTCGGATATGGCGACATTATCTCGACAACAAGTACCCCGTTCGGATTCTCACGGATCACAAGAACTTGGAGTATTTCAAGAGGGACAAGGTATTGTCTCAACGGCAGGCGCGATGGTCGCAGCTGTTGAACCAGATCTCCTACACCCTGGAGTACAAGCCGGGAACGGAGAACGGGAAGGCCGACGCGTTGAGTCGTCGGGAAGAGTTGATGGAGGAGACAGAACCGAAGCGAGCGGAGACTCTGCTCCGGCCTGTCGAAGACGCACCCCCTGAAGGGTGTAGTTCGGTTGAACGACCGCCTTTGCGGTTGAATGGCACCATCCCCGCACTGGGCGATTGGATGGTGAAAGCGCTGATACCGGCGGCGCAGGACGACCCGGTGGCGAAAGAGCTCGTAGCGCAGCTCAAGGCGGGGACCTTGGCGAATGAGCGATACAGCTTGAGCCCCACTGGGGTTCTCCTGTACAACGGGTTGGTGTATGTTCCTAACGCGGGGAACATCAAGGTAGAGCTGATGAAGCGCCTACATGACGGGAAGGCCGCCGGCCATTGGGGGCGGGACAAGACCGTGGAGCTAACCAGTAGGGACTTCTACTGGCCTGGGATGGCGAAGTGGATCGGGGAGTACGTCGCTAGCTGCAGCATATGTCAGCGCAACCGGCGACCCCGAATGAAGCCTGTCGGCGAACTAGCGCCGCTGCCGGTACCGGCGGGACCATACGAATCGATCACTTGGGATCACATCACGGACCTTCCCGAGTCTATGGGGTCCAATTCGATCCTGGTGATCGTCGATCGGTTCAGCAAGCGAGCGCACTTCGTCGCTTGTCGAAAGGATAACGACGCCACATTCTTGGCGCGGTTATTCCTTGACCGATGGGTGTGTTTGCATGGGTTCCCGAAGCAGATCATTTCGGATCGAGGTACGTTGTTCACCTCGCGCTTCTGGAAAGATCTGTGCCGCATGGCGAACGTGGAGAATAGTTACTCCACGGCGTTCCACCCGGAGACGGACGGGCAGACCGAGCGAAGTAACTCCACCTTGGAGCAGTACTTGCGGTCGTACGTCAACTTCCTCCAGGACGATTGGGCGGAGTTACTCTCCATGGCGGAGTTCGCGTACAACAACGCGAAGCACTCTGCCATCGGGATGTCGCCATTCATGGCGTCCGAGGGAAGGGAACATACCTTCTCCCTGCCAGTGCCCGGCACTAGGGAAGAGGCGGTGGAATCGGCGGGAGAGTACCGAGACCGACTCGACGGGATCTATAAGTCGGTGAAGGAGGCGCTGGAACAGGCGCGGAAAGACATGGCGAAGTACGCAAATCGGAAGCGTACCGCCGTCCCTGACGAGGGTTACAACGTAGGGGACTTGGTAATGTTATCTACCAAGAACTTGACATCGGTGCGCCCGAGCCAGAAGCTCTCGATGAAGACGCTGGGGCCCTTCCGAATTACGGAAGTCATCGGCCAGAGCAAGATGGCGAGGAGGCTGGAACTCCCCGCGCAGTTACGCCGGGTGCACCCCGTGTTCCACGTGTCGTTGCTTATCCCCTATCGGGCCAACGAGCTGGAAGGAAGAGAGGTGGTTGAGCCACCTACCCCCGAAGTCCTCGACAACGGCGACTTGGGGTATGTTGTGTCCGAGATCGTACACTCGAAGGCGTTACGATCCGGAAGGTCCGGGAAGAAGACCCAATACCTGGTACGGTTCGAAGGGTACGGGGACGAGTCAAACGAGTGGGTCAGCCCCGCTGAGTTTGACCACGACGACAAAGTCGTTGCGGCGTTCCACAAGCGCTACCCCCATCTACCCCAGCCCGGTCGACAAGAGTACGCCGACGCTTGATGCGTTCGGAGTCCGCATCTAGGAGGGGGATCCTGTTATAGCGGTCACGTGACGCGTCGG